AAGATTCACCCATGTTTCTGTTCTTATAGGTCTGAATTGTGTTATTTTAACAAGTCAGCCTTTGCTCTTAGGTGACAGAATTCAGTTGACCGGTTTAAGTCTGCTGAGCACAGAATTATGCATTCTGTCTCAATTCAGACCAATTTATACAGTCTAACTACCTGACTCTCCTGTACTAGAGAACCTGGACTGGTAATATAATTGCATCACTCTTAATTTCTCCTCTTTCTACTATATTTCTAGTAACCAGCCTACATATATCCATTGTTGAAACTTTTTTTTAAAAAAAGGAAAACATTTTTTCCTTTGATTTAAGTGTGTTATTCTGAAGCATAAAATTCCAAGAGTTACAAAATATTACTTCCATAGACCTTCTATGGTGGGTTCTAGAAATCCTGTAAAATTGGGTTAAGTTTTTTCTAAGGGGGAATATGTATCCAGGTCTTTGGTCCCTCTGCCAGGCATTAAATCAAAGAATGTGCAGCAATGTTCTCTTGACTGAAAACTGGCTCTCGTTAGTCAGCTTCTCAATCTTACCTGTCATCAGTCTCCATTATCCCCCAAGGGACAATGATGTTCTTTGAAGATTGTGGTCCCAGCTCCTTCCTAAGGAATTTGCTCCTAGTATGCAACATCATATACTACTAGTAAAGAAGTAATTATCTTTAATTATAGCTCTTCTTCTTTTACTGTAATAAATTTTAACATATATCAATTCCAGAGACTGTTTAACTGAATATTAATATTTTCCTTATAAAGCAATTTCATTCATATATATATATGAGACTATAGTATCTTAAATCAGTTATCTAAATCTCATGATTACTAGTAGAAATATGATTTCCAAAGTAGAAAATAATCTGTAAATTTTGGAATAAAAATTATGTTTAGTGGCAGTGTCTCAGACTACTACTTACTTAAACCCAACCACAAATGTTAGTACATGAGTCATAAAAATGTGCAATGCAGCCTTGTACTGACTGTAAGAAAAATACATAGGCTAGGAATTTGAAGAGAGAGAGAGACTTTAAGAAAAATTGAGTGTTGGCGAATTAGAAGTCTGGCTCATAAAAATTTTTATAAAATCTAAGAGAAAGTATTGGATATATAAAAGGTACATATAGCAATAATTTGAGATAAACTAAGTGCCAGCAGTTCTAGGTGCTAGAGAGGCAGCACTGAAGGAAAACATTTCTAATTTCTTTACAGTGTAAGCTTTTTAAAAGAACAGATAAATGTCTCTGTCCCCAAGGAACGGAATACTCCAGAGGAGGAACTTGAGTTTAAAGGAAGAGCTTACTAGACTTATGCTCTAATGACTTTAATTTAATGAAAATCTATTGAGCATTTAACAGAACAAACTATCCTGAGGAGTAGTGAAGGACAAAACCTAGGAACAAGGCAGAGGCAATATGGCAGGGGCAGAGGGGGCAGGACACACAGGTTCACACCAGGAGAAAATGGCTTTGAAGAGGAGGAGGTTTTATTAGGGCCTTGAAGAATGTCTAATTTCCAAAAAAAAAAAAAAAAGAAAAGAAAGAGAGAAGAAAGCAAGCCAGACAGAAAAGATTGAAAGCCAATCTCTAAAGCAAACAGTGATGGTATAGCAAAAGGAGGCCCAAATCAGCTGACTTTGTGGATTCATGCTGTGCCTTTGTTCAAAGGGCTAATTACATCACTATTACAACACCCAGGAAATGATGCAGGCCATGCTTTGTAGGTCATAAAAGTGTACCAGGGACTAAATTGCATTTCCTGATTATTTTATGAGCACAATATCTAGGTCTTCTAATTTTGAAACCACAGTTTATTCTCTAGCTTAAGCTATAGGGTAGGCTTCCCTATTGTCAAATGGTGTGCTCAAATGTACATTTTGATTCTTAGTAGGTACAAAAAAACTGAAGCTTTTTTTCTCTGTGACAAAGATATGGGGAAAAACTAGGGAGAAATAATTTGATACCTGCCTATCACTTTGCAGCTTCTATTTTAATAATAACAAATCTTTACATGATATCCAGTGGTTAGAGATGGTTTATTCATAACATAAGTACAATTTTTATATTGATTTTCTAGTTTACCCAAAAGATTTTATATATGCTAATCATATTTTTATATGTATATAAGGACACATTTTTCTCCATTAAAAAAAGAACAAAATAGGAAAATGATTATTATGACTAGTATGGCAACTTTTATGTTTAATTGTAGTATTTATAGTTATTAGCACTACTAAAAATATATGCTAGTTCTAGTAATCTCAGAGCAATTCAAATTTATGACCCATTTACATGTTACAAAACTAAAAAAGGCACAAAGGTAACATACTCTACATATCAAAAATCATGAAATTCTAAGTTACACAATTACTAAAGGTTATAAATTTCAACCTTTGACCTCTTCCATTTTCCCTTTGTGATTCAAAGCATTTTTAATTCTTTTATTAACTTTTCATTTCTCAATAACCTTTCAAAATATCAATTTGTTCATGAAGGTATGTTTTCCTAATAACTTAAAAATGATATTTTAGATACTGATTTTGGGATTCAAATCTCAAGATCCTGAGATAACTTTCATAACTTGTAAACTTTGGGCCAAAAGTGATACCTAATTAAATGTTGATTTCTTCTAGAATGGTTTGTAGGTTAGCTTCAGATTTGTATCTTTCTCGCAGGAGAGACTTATGAGCATCCTTGAAAACAGTTGCAGAAGCAATACTTGAGTTACAATTCATCTCTAACATTTTTTATGCCCCTGAACTGCTTTAAATATGTAGAAAATGACCAACGTTTTCTCTGAACTTCAGTGGGCATCCATTCTAACACTGATCTTTTCAAGTACCACTTTTCCCAATACCCTTCCAGAAGGGAGTTTCCCACTGTTTTCAGATAGTCTGGCATAAAAACCCTTGCTGGCCAAGTCCTTAGATAGCTCTAAAACGTTCAAGTATAATTTTGCACTCCACAAGTTTTGCCTTGGGTTCTTTCTTTCTCATTCTGGAGACCTGTCCATAAAGTTTCAAGGCAGAAATAGAATCAGCATGATCTAGTAAAAACTTACGCTAAATTTTAAACATAGAATAATAATACGCATAGAATAAGAAGAAGGATACAAAAATGGACTATCTGAAGTGCTTCCTGGCTAGAAGCACTTCAGAAATTGAAAAAAAAATATGACAAATCATCCACTTTAGAGACTACTGAAGAGGAAGGAAAATCCCCAAAACCTAAAGTCAGAAGACTAACAGAGAATGCTAGAAAATGGAGACGAAAATTATTCTTTGCTTAGATTAATTCTCTTGGAATACTAATTGCAAAAGAGTGGTGTTTAATTGAGGATTTTGAGAACTGACAGATTGCCACTTAAATGCATTCTCAGACACAGAGCATGTGGCCTTTTCATGTCCTCTGAACTTTACCATAAGGGACAGAGCTTCAGAGGATGTTCTTTCTATAGCAGTTGTCATTTGAAACCCCAACCAGTCCCATCCAAGAAGTTCCATTAGCACCAAAGCTTGTTGACTAGAAGTTCACAAAGTCCATAATTCACCAAGAGAAGGGGTCATCAGCCTGAGCCATTAGAAGTTCCGAGCTTCTCTGCCACTAAGCAGAGAAGCTTCTTAAAGGAAGACATTGCCCACAAATGTCCAGGAGCTAAAGACCATAAAAGTACTGACAGGCTTCCGTCTCACCAAGGCTGTCCACTCCTAGGTTCTGGTTTCCTAAAAATAGCCCTCAGGGTACAGTTCCCTCTTTCCCTTTGCCCTAAGAAAGCTAAAGAACTCTCCAATGGGAGGGGCAACTTCTCTCTGAAACTCGATGCTAGCAGTGAGGTCAGTTTGCCCAGAAATAAAGGGAAGCCTCAGAGAAGGAGGCCCCACTCAGGGATTGGAGCGGCCCTCAACTCACTCTTCAGGCTTGACCCGTTCTGCAGCCCAGCAGCTCCATCATGGTGCGTCCTATAAGAGAACTACTTGTCATTCATAGGAGGATAGCAATAGTGATGAGAAGCTTATTGAGGAAAGAGGCAGACAGGAGGAAGGGAATTGAGGAGAGAAAAGAGCCAGAACAAATCTTGAGACTCTACTTTGGGATACTTTGGGATACTTTGGGAGGTATGTTGAAGATAGAAGAGATTAATTAGAACTAATATGCAAACTGGAAAAATACATCTTACTTCCCAAAGCAGTAGTACTTCATGCTTCACCAGCTTTTACTATATCACATAAGGTTTAGGATATTTAAATTTAGGGGGGAAACTGAAACTATAGCAAGATAGTATGACCTAAGATACACCCCAGTTATACTGATAGCTAGAATCAAGTAAACTGCTTCCAGTGCTTTCTATATTGTATACTAATATAAAAATGTACTGGTGCAACTGCAGAAAGATTTAAGGTGGTCTTTTAAATGCAGCTAATCATTTTTTAATATAATGCATATTTATTAATCAGGCATATCTTTAATATATCATAGGCTTTTGCATTATTTTAGGAAGTATCTGATTGAGCATTTATTGTTTCCTTATTTAAGATACAGAGAAATGTTCCCTAATTATCTTTTGCAATAGATTTTTGTATTCCTAGATTTAAAAGTACCCTAAGGCAACCTTCTTATGCTATGACACCTACATGGCTTCCTAAGTCTCAGAGCAGAGAGCAATCCTTCTGTCAATGCATTTGAAAGAGTACTAGTTGTTCCTTTCTTTCTCTCTCTCGCCACTGCAGTCCTTCAGTGCTGACCAGATTGCGGGTAAGTGATTTGAGTGTCTCTGTTGCAGATGTGGGCAGAGCACTGTCTGGTTTCTGGACTATCAGTTAACACCAAGGCATGCTACTTTGTGGTTGAACCTGTTGGTGTCCAAGCTATGCCTGAACTCGGAAAAGTAGGCTGACTTTTGAAGCTTACTTTGAAGTTTATTCAGGGAATGAGCTGGATACACTTAAAAATCAGGACATTTTTGTTTGGTTAAAATATTCTTTGTGATTAATTTCTTTCTGACAGATCGAGTTCTCTAAGGAACAGCAGGATGGTAAGTTTAAAAGCTCTAGTTGTTAATATGTGCACACTCATAAAGATGGTATGTAAGAAAACCAGCTCCCTTGGGTTGAGCTAAGCTCTTCCTAATTATTCACACTGGTGTTGCCACTCTAAATATAAATTGCTCTCAGTCACTCTAAATATAAATTCATTCAACCTGAAGCCTTTGCTTATAATCAGTAATCAAAGATTTAAGCAAATAAAAGGTAAACCCCACAATAATGAGTCCTTATAGGCACTAATTTCTAAATAAAACTAACTTGATACAAGAAGTAATAGATGTGTATACTTACAAACAGATGTAGATTTGGGAAGGATAATTTGCTAATCAAACCTCTAAAGAGAAATTTGATGAGTGTGAATTGTTCAATATGGAAAATAAAGTTAATTATAAAACTGCCCAATTACAAAATCTACACAATAGTGAGCTGTAGAACAAAAGTGAATTCAGAGACAAAAAAAAAGGAAGGAGTAATTTACCATAGAATTGTGGAAGGAATATTAGACATCTCCTGCTCCAGCTCTTCTTTAGAGGTACAGGACAGACACCCAGAGAAGTGATAAGTCTTGCTAAAGGACCCAAAGAATTAGTGATGGGATTAAAAATTTGGTATGACTTCAAACTGATTAGAAATTTCTTTTATAAAAGTGACCAATGGGGAGACCCCAAACTCTTGAGATTCAAGAGAATCCAAATAGTTTCCTTTGCACTTCAATTTCTTCCCCTTTGGGTCTTTGAAATCAACAGATCCCCCAAATCTAATTTTGTTCATTAGGAAGTATATGAAGAAATGTTTATGGAGTGAAATTGACACCAAATTTGAATGAACGGGACAAAAATAATTCATAGAAATGAGAGGGCAAAAGAGTTTAGTTATATAATGTTGTACAGCTTAGAATATTGGTCAATTTAAGTATGTGTATATTATATATATTATGACATAGAAGATATAGACATGGGTGATTAAAAAGAATGTATTCAATTTATTCTGTGCCTAAAGGATTTTACATTTTTCAGTTCTTTTCAGTCATGTTTTATGTCTATAAGTCAATTAAGAATAAAAAGGGTATTTGCTGTTATACAGACTAACTGGCATCTACAGCATGGCTGGTGATCTCATGTAGACAGATTGGATTATAACTTAAAATCATTTAAAATTATATTGTGAAGGACTGTTTTATATATTGAAAATAGTTTTCTACAAATTGTTTATTATAATTTGTTTTATTTTAATTAACTTTTAACTAGTGATGCTGCTACCTCATCAGCTACCACATCCCAGTTCTCTCACATTCCTAACATGCAGTGTCACTAGGACTACCAAACAATGTAAGACCAAGAAGCGAAAGATTTCAAATTTTTTCAGGTCAAAAGGACTTCCTGTTAAGCACAAAACCTATGACTCCACATGTGAAATAAGTTTTAGACACAGAAGTTGGGTAAACATTGGTGTAGTAGATTGGGATTTTGTGTGTGTGTGTGTGTGTGTGTGTGTGTGTGTGTGAGAGAGAGAGAGAGAGAGAAACAAATGTAAGCTATTTAAACAGAAATTCTATACTCTCAGAAATGAATGAAGAATAGTTTATTTCCTTGTTTAATGATTAAAGATTTTTGTTCATGCTGCTCTAATTAAATTGAAATGAAGAAAATAGGATTGAAGAAAAAAACTAGAAAATTATAGCATGCTAAAGGTCTAAGTCCTATGCTGTTCCATAAAGTAGCCACTAGCCCATGTGGCTATTTACATATTAATTAATGAAAAAGTAATAAATTTTGAAATCCATTTCCTCAATTGCACTAGTCACATTTAAGGGCTCAAGAGCCACAGCTAGTAGTTACCATAATGGGCAAATAGAGAACAATTCTATCATTACCAGAAAGTTCTACAACAGTGCTATTTTTGATCAGAGATCATAAATTTTTTTGTTGATGGACCAAATGTAAATGCATTAGGCTTTCCTGGTGTTATAGTCTAAAAACAACTCCATTCTATCACCAAGGTGTGAAAACAACTACAAACATAGAGAAATGGAGATGGCCATATTCCAATCACACTTTCATTGAACAAGCAAGAAGCCCCTGGGAAGTAGTTTGCCAATCCATGTTCAAGAGAATAACTAAGCCTTGCATTAAAAATCTGGGGTAGAAAGAACAGAATTTTTCTGACCTCTGCCTTTAAACCACCAAAAGAGTTAATGTCAGAGTGATTTCATTACAACTCATAAAATTCTATTTCTACATCAGCATCTGACCAAGGTAATTGTGAGCTCTCTGTCCCTAAAGCCTGGAGCCAATAACAAGAATAGTTCCATTTCATGTGTCCCTTAGAAACATGAAAAATAATATTTGACTAATGACACCATAGGGCCTGCAGAATGTTTTTTAAAAAAATCCATTATAGTCAAATGCATAGGATTTTAGCAAAGAGTGATAACATGAACTGTAACTAGTCATGAATACAGTGTCTGGTACAATCTTAGATTAGGGGTAGAGAGAGAGTTAAAAGGATATTTGGCTGTGTAATCTATCTAGATAGCATCTTTTAACCTAAGACCACTGATAGCTAAAAAGAGTGCTTTCAGCCCTATAGTTCACTCACAAATGGTTTTCTGAGTGTTACTGACATTAACTCCAATCAGTCACCATTAGTAGTTCTGGGTTTCCCAGAAATTTTGATTTAAGTTTAGAATTTTCAGGTAAAATGACTTACTGTTCCCTATGTTCATAGTATTGCACCTTCCTGTCTTTTCATTATGTATTTTTCAAATTCTTTATCATTGTAAATTTTAAAGACAAGACCAGTTCTATCAAAAGAAAATGACAAAATACAGGGAGAATAATAAATAAGTGACTGTGATAAGAATAGCACTTTAAAATACATACTTAATACACACATAAATGAATACAAGCAAACTGGGGAAATGTGAATAAAATCACTGGGGTCTATCAATGTGAATATCCTGGTTACAGTAATATTCTATGATTTTGCAAAGTGTTACGATTGGGGAAAACCAGGTATACAAGGAATTTCCCTGAATTATTTCTTGCAACTGCATGTGAACCAATTATTTCCATAAATTTTAATAAAGAGTGTGTACTTGAATTCAAAAGCTGGTATAGCAGCATGCTGTCATATGTATTATCTGAAAAACAGAGTGAAGTGTAAAGAGAGTATTATAACATTGGATCCAAAAAATATTTCTCCTTCTGAATTAGTTATGCTAGGAGCCTGCTAGCATCAAACATTGAAATGGTTAGACATTGTAGAATTTACGGGCCTGCCTCATGTTTCTAAATTTGTCCTGAAAAATGAAGTTATTTCTGAAGAAAACTGTCGAGAGAACAACCTAAGAAATTTGTACCTTGAGAGAAGCCTTTTCTATATAATCTGAGAAGTATGGGTTAATAACATATAACACAATCCTGATCAAAAATTTGTTTTCTTGAAATGTATTAATCTTGCTAATTTTATGAAGGACTAGATAAAGATTACTAGGATTTATCAAGGCCTCAGAATCTCTTAGCCCAGTCCCAGACAAGGAAATATGAGTAAATATGACTATGATGTCTGATTTCCATATCTAATTAGCAATAACATATGACTAGAATTTAGAAATGCTGCTTTAAAAGAATTCCAAAAAGAAATGTCAAAAAGGTTTGACAATGATTGTTTGAGGTAGGAAAACAGAATTTGACAATGACAACTTAAGTGGTTGGCAAACTTGTAAAACAGAAGAGTTTAAGTAAATCCTTGAAGGACTCAGGGTTAATTAATAGGTTTGAGAAAGAAAAATAAAAAACCCTAATGTTCCTTGTTTTTTGCAGAATTCAAGGAGGCATTTCTCCTGTTTGACAAAACAGGTGATAGCAAGATCACCTTAAGCCAGGTTGGTGATGTCCTTCGGGCACTGGGCACAAATCCCACCAATGCAGAGGTCAAGAAGGTTCTGGGGAACCCCAGCAATGAAGGTAACCACATCAGTTCTTCCAAGATCTATGGAAGTGTAGCTAAAGCATGCATGCATAAGTGTGAGACTGAGAAATAAATAATAGTTTCCATAGAATAGTGCTCAGTTTATTTCTGATGGTAGCAAATATGCCTGTTAGCCATCTAGAATCTTATCTTTTTCCCTTGCAAAATAAGTTAACCTTCATTTGAGAACCTGCAAGCATGATAAAATGTTGTGCTTATGAAAACAAATAATGTCTGATGCTAAGAACATCATTCTTATTATCATATCTAATGTTCATAATCTCAGAGATAATGAAACAAATAACATCCAAATTCGCACATTATCTTAAACTTCAAACCTTCAAAGGAAAAAGTGCATTTCGACAAAGATGTTAAATACAGTTAAAATACAATGGACTTTGTATACGATTCTGGGTAAATTACAATGGCATACTTCTAGAGAAAATCTAATATTTGATAAAAACTGTGGAAATAAAGTTGCAATGTTTTGAAGAGATTTAAAAAATACCTATTGACCTTGCCCTGTGCTCTGACCATTAACAACACTGCTTCTGTGCCTGTCTCAAAAGAAATTCAGCTTTCTTAATTAAGCATAGAAAGATAGACATCTTAACAAGGGAATTTTCCATTTTCAATAATTTTTTAAAAGCTTTAAAAATCTCAAGCCAAACTCTGCATTCAGTCTCCCAAGGTAAATCCTGGAACAAAAATCAGAGAAATACACAAACAGCAAAATTGCAGAAGACATTCACTTGATACAGAAATCCAATCATTAGTCTGGAACAAGGAATTTGTTTTTAACCTCAGTGGTTCACAGCAAAGTATGACAGTCTATTGGAAAATATGACTCTAAACAAAAAACAACAACAACAACAACAAAAGAAAAAAAAACAGAATACAAAACGTTAAGTTTTCTCAAGTAGATAGTTGGGCTGTTGATCTTTGCCATTAGTAAAAAAGAACAAGATGGTTAGGCAAATAATCTTACATTTCTCATTGGTAACTAAAAATGTTTTAGAAATGTTCCTTCATTTTAAAAAGGGAGGGTAAGAACCTTTCTTTCAAGAAAACTTGCTTCTAAATTGGTCTGCTTTAGAATTGTTTCTCAGACTTCATTTTCTTTAGAAGAAATTTCTAGTTTAATCATGCAGAAAGCAGATGAGTATGAAATAAGTGGGAAAGCAATAGTCTAACCCTTATTTTCAAATGTCACTGTCTGACTTGCCAACATCCATCTTTAATGGAATTATTGAACAAATGCTCATTTATTCAGCACTCAAATCCAATCTTTCTAATATTGTCCAATGTATTTGACTTCTACAAGAGAAGAACTGGGGAATTTTTATTTTGCAAGTATATAATTTTATCCATTTGCATACATCTGGATAGTCTAATTTATACTTTTACTGGGAATGATATCTACCTTGTCAGAGACACTAAAGAAAGTTCTCCCATCTCTAGACCTCTAAATTGCAGAGAAGTCAGGAGATCACAAAGTATTTGACACACACCCTTTCCTCATAAGCTTCTTTTTTAAATTACTTAAAATTTAAACAAAGCAAAGGCCCTGCCAAAGCTCAGGACATAGGCAGAATATGTAGTAAAGTACAGTTAATTTTTACTATATTTCTATGGGAATGTGTTTGTGGCATCCCAGTATAATTTTTTATTGCTTCCATAGTATTTATGGAAAATATTAAATTATCAATAGTAATAAAATAGTAGGTAGCATTTCTTAAGCACTCAATTTGTCCCAAGATTTTTCTTGTTATTGTGGGTTTGTTTTATTTTTTTGGTTGTTTTTTTGTTTTTGTTTTTGGTGCCAGGGATTAAACCCTCCTAATCACTGACCCACATCCTCATTCCTTTTTAGTTTTCCTTTTGAAACAGGGTCTCATTAAGTTGTTTAGGGCCTCATTAAGTTGTTGAAGGTGGCTTTGAACTTGTGATCCTCCTGCCTCAGCCTCCTGAGCCACTGGTATTACAGGCATGACATGCATCTCCATGCCTGGCATGTCCCAAGTATTTCAATGAGCTTTACATGCATTATCTATTTAATTCCCACAATAACACTCTGAGGTATTTCTGTTTTACACATGAAAAATTGACACACATATAGGTTAAGAAAGTTGCCCAGTATCACACAGTAGTACAGGAACAAATGGGAATAAAGTTTGGCACTGGAACTCCAGAACACATGATATTGCCTTTTGCCATATTTTTGTCATTTTGGTAATTCACCAACTGAGGTTTAAACTGTGTGAAGATCTTTTAGATCATCTGGAATGAACTTTCAGCTTTCATTGGTGACTCAGAGATGATGTTTTATGGTGGCTACAAACTGTCCAAACTGCAATTTCTTTCAGAGATGAATGCCAAGAAAATTGAGTTTGAACAATTTCTACCCATGATGCAAGCTATTTCCAACAACAAGGACCAGGGAACCTATGAAGATTTTGTTGAGGGTCTGCGTGTCTTTGACAAGGAAGGCAATGGCACAGTCATGGGGGCTGAACTCCGCCACGTACTAGCCACCCTGGGTAAGCATTTATTCCAGTGGACTTAACAGCACAGAATGTACAGGAAAGAACACAGAAGAACCATGTAATTACAAAACTAGGTATGGAGAAAGTCTACAAAGAAAACATGAAAAATGAATACTCAAAAGTCAATCACTATTTCAATTGGCCTCTGTGACAGCGAGGCCAATGAATAAGTAAAGGAAAACATTGTAGTCCTTATAGGATGTAGTTTGGATGACAAGGGATAATGTGTAGTTAAGTCATTTGAAAACAATGTATTGACATCCTACTGAGTGTGTGGGAAATTGGAATAGTTTTTGTCTTCCAAGAGTTCAATCATAGTTTCTAAGAGTACATCATTTATGGTAGATTTGAAAATATCCTGTTGCCTCATTTCTTTAAAAAGGGTTTTGTTTCATAGGTGAAAAGATGAAAGAGGAAGAAGTAGAAGCCCTGATGGCAGGTCAAGAAGACTCCAATGGCTGCATCAACTATGAAGGTATAATCAGTGTGCACTGGTGATTTTAGTCCCTCTTAATTGGTTGGGTTGCTGATAGCATCCTTTTGAATTATTTAAAATAAACTGATTTCCTCTTCCTTCTTTATTAATATCCATATGTTACTTATTATCAATCAACCCCATAACTCCAAGAAGATAGTCTATGAGGAGATATATGTGAGATTTATTCCAATATGTTTTAGCAATCCTATGCACTGTTTTATAGTTTCGAATGTGTTTTAATGTGTATTTCCTTGCTAGAGCTTCACAACGTCCCTTTGAAATAGACAGGTTTTGCATCAAAATCATATGTAATAGTATATTAAAGTTAGGGAGATTTTCAAGTCCTTTACTAATACCAAGCAATTATAAAAATGAGGAAACTGAGGACCAAAGAGCTTTAGTGATGCTCAAATCATTAATGGCAGGGCTAGTAATAAAGCTTAATTCTCCTTGTCCAGTGTTCTTGCTTACATAAAAGTCATCCTCTAGTAGAGAATTATTTATTTCTTGCTAACATTTACAGCAACTATACCCAAAGAGTATAAAAGCATGTACCACAGAAACTAAAGATGCAAAATAAAGTTGCATAATGTGATTTGCAAATTTAAAATTTCTCAATAAAACCAAAAATTTGTCTATCCCCAAAGAGGACTAAGTTAATTTCAATAAACCTACGTTGAGAGTTTTAAAAACTTACCAAGTCCCACAACTTAGAGAAAGCAAAAAAAAATAAAAGGAAAAGCACAGGGGGCAGGGGAAGAGGAATTAGAAGAGGAAGGGGAGGGGAGGGAAGGAAAGGGGAGAAGGAAAGTACCAAGCCAGACAGATCTTCACTGGCAATCTTTATTAAACTTCACTTTTTCCTGTAAACAGTTTTTCCACATTTGATTATTACTATAAACACATTACATAGAGGAATCATTCAATCATATGATTTAGACAAGTGGATGTCGTGTAGAAAATAAAGTCAATCTAAACTTCTCTTTCATTAAAGTTGACTGTTTTCTAACTTTGAACTACCCATGTTACCCCGACAGCTTTTGTCAAGCACATCATGTCTATCTAAACGGAGCTCTCAAGGTACATGTCTGTTCCTTTGTAATATATACAGCTTTCTCAATACTGTATTTTTTTTAATTAACAGCTTCACTTTATATGCTGTAGATATAATTAGTATTCGTTTCTAATTAAGAGTTGTCTTCATAAGCCTGAAAACTTGAAATACTTGAGATGGATTATTTAGAAATAAAACATACTTGTATGAGTGTCCAAGCAAAATTTATGATGTTTTTGCTTCCATTCATAAACCCCCTTAACTACACTTATGATTAAGCAGTGGAGACTCAACTAACTAAAGACTAGTTAATTAATTTTATTAGAACCCCAACACTAATGAAATCATGAGCCTACATCCTTTGAATAGCTAAATTAGCTTTAACAATTACTGATCTAAAGCACTGTGTCTTAACAGTCCAAATTCAAGGACTTGCAACCAAGTTCTTACAACAAAGAAGTGGCTTACCCTATAAGCACTGGTTTATTTTGTGCTTTTTTCCTCTTTTGCATGTCACATTATTTCCTCCTGAGTTTTCTTTCTGAAAATATGGGATCAACATCTAACTTGCTTTCCCTTTTCCTTTACAGAACAAGTATTGTTTAGGAAGACTGGCTGGAGTCCACTTTTAGTAACATCCATGACTAACTGTCCAGATCTGTTTACCATCTTTCAGAGAAACAAAAGCAATCTGGATCACTCTAGACTGAAGGACTTTCTGAATTTTTATACACCTTAAGTTTTTCTCTGAAATATATTCATACCACACAAACCAAATGTCTGTTGCTCTAGACAACAAAAATAAAATATTGGCAATCTCATATCAAAGCAATACTCTTTATTATCTACCATGGGTCAACAGGCATCCTTAAAATATCATATCAATAAAAAATATTGGTCAGTCTGAAATATCCAAGTCACATTGTTTTTATTTTCTTGCTTTGTGAAAATAATTTTTGAAACCTCAGATCTTTCGTTAAATGTACAGAATGTTGATGAATTATAAATTTACTAAAGAATCATTATAGTCTACAGAGCATTTGCAACTTGAATAACACAGATAATTACACATTACCAAAAAAGTGAAAAAAATAACTGAAAAACTTCAGATAGGATCAGAGATGTTTTAATGTAAACTATCCATGCAATTTAAGGTGAAAGCAGAATGATTTCAGATTTATATAAATTGTGATTATGGCTTCATCTATTTAGTTTCTTGTAACAATCTAGCTACTAGAAAACTAGCAAGCCTTTGGTCTTTCTCCCAGACTGTCTTAAAAGAAAAATTCAAAGTGACCTTTCAGTTGTTAATGTTTAAAAAAAAATCCTCTCTGGGGATGGGATTGTTGCCCAAGCTAAGAACTCAAGATCCAAGATCCTGTTTATTAATAGTCTCTCTCTTTCTCCTACTAGGATCTCCCTTCTTTACATGCCCAGGTTCCCAAATCTCAATTCAGTCTTAGAAGTATAAAAACATAGTAAGACTAATTGGAAAAGTTTATATAATAAACTTACTTTATCATCTCAGAACGCTATCCCATATCACTTTTTCTTCAGAACAGATTCTGAAAGGTAGTATTTGAATAATCAGACAGAGATGAGTGATAAATTATTCCCCCCTACCTCTCTTAAAAGATACTTGTAATATTTTGCAAGTATTATGTATTTTTGGAAGGTGAAACAACATTTTCTGACATTGAGAGTTTCAGGTCAAAAGCTCCTTCCCTCTAGCAAAAGTCCCTTGGATTCTAGTAGCTAATACTTCAAATTTAGCCTGTGTTTTCATGACCAAGATGATGTTGGGACATTACAATCACTCTTTTAAGAAAAATTAACTGTGGCCTCATGACTTTCAAGACCAAATTTACTTAAGACTAGGGCTTGAAAATGTTTCCTCAGCACTATCCAATAGATCCTTCTGTGAAAATGGAAATATATACCTGTATTGTCTTATGTGGTCACCACTAACCATGGGTGGCTACAGAACACTTAAAATGTGGCTCATGCAACTGAGGAATTAAATCTTTAATTGTACTTTACTTTAACTTATTTAATTTTGAATCTAAATAGTCACATGTGGTTCATGACTGCCGTGACAGACAGAAAGTTCTCAATATATACTTAAGTCTTATACCAGACAATTATATATATATATATTTTTTTTTCAAATTACAAAGATCACAATGTAGAGGAAACTAGTACAAATAATCTATTCATAAAAGACTAATTTTTGTTTTAGGATATGTGGCTCATTGTCCAATCTTCTTCACTTCCTCATAATTTTTCAATTAGAAAAGTATGATGTCTACAAGGTATGAAATTGTTAGTCTCAAGCTTCACATATAATACTTGTCCCTCAAGGCCTTTTAAAACTGCTTTAACCCCCAGTGGGATAACATGCCATACAGTCATGGGACCTAACCTTATTAAATTACCATGTGTGAAATGCCCAGAACTCAAGTAGCAGCAGGTGCAAAGTAGAGTAGCAGGCGGAAGAGTGGCAGCAATTTTTAACATCCACACCAGCTGGCAAAAATGACAGGTGCCTAATTCCTCAGTCTTTAAAAATAACTTTCAAAAAGCCTACACTGCATAAGCAAATATTTTCAAGTTTACTTTTAACAATCTTTAAGTGACTTTTCTGACAAAATGTAATATTATAGATCCATTTTTTTGCCTTAGTTATATTCGATACTTAAAAACCACACAGGAACTTAATTTATTCTCTTTTATGGAAGAAATAAGTGATTATTATTAAGATGAGATTATAGTAAGGTTTGTGTGTGTGTGTGTGTGTGTGTGTGTGTGGACTTCTCAGCAGTATTTATCAAGAAACATTGCATAGAAAAGAACTTTTATGTGTCTAACTCTATTTAGTTGTATTTTTTTTTTGTCCATAATGACAAAGATAACTTGGAACTTGATAGAACAAAGAAAGACTATCTTCTTTTATATCCTAAGTCTAGAGAAAATGGTGAGTTCATAAATGTATTCAGCAAACCAAGTCTATAATCTGAAAGAAGAAATTAAACAGCAAGTCTGAACTACACACTAGAGAACTCCACTCCCTGGAATTATCAAGATAACTGAAGCTAAGGAAAAGCACAATGAAGAAATAATTCAGGCAATCATGTCAATTTTACAGTTTGATGAGTGAGCACCAAACTAAAATGTCAATGCATAGGAAAGATGATAGAGTCTAAGAATCTGCTGGGAGTCTTTCCAGAAATTTTATACAGGGATAGACTTTTCTTTAAATAATCATTATTATTTGGTAGGAACAAGCACTGGTTATCTCTCTCCTTGGACTTCTTCTACCAACAAAGTGATTGATCAGAACTACTCTGCCTCCACCATAGCCGTGGTGTATGCCTCTTAGATCAGGGAAAATGTGGCCCATGCCCTGAATCTCACACTCAAGGGCCCCACTCTATTCCTTCTCCATCAACACACCCCTAGAACCAAGAAGTCTAACCAGAAATAGAGCTTGCTGCTCTGGAGCTCATGTCCCACTCCTAGTTTACTCTGAATACCTGGGTCCTGGATGGTCCCGCCCTGATGGTTCCAGATTCTTTTCTAGGACCTGGGTGGGAGTCTTCCTAGGTCCATCTTCCTAAGAGAAGACCTCTATTTGTGTATGCAACCCTAAAACCAAGAGGTGGCCAATGAAACAGAAGAATGGGAGCATTCCCTGAAGAGCAGGTGCTTTGGAGTTAGGTTTAGGTTTGAATCTTACTGCTGCCACAACTTTTGTTTTGTTCACGTTAAGGTTGGTATTATCTAGAAGTCCCTTGCAATGCAGGATGCAGCTAGAGGTGGGGATTAGCAGAGAGGCTCCAAATTCTGGGCAGATCACCAAAGAGTCCAAAAATCCTATCCTGGCCTTCTAAGTTATTATAAAGCTATATTTGCCAAAGGAAGACCCCAGACAATATATTATTTACAATGTGTGAGTTTGATCCATGACTAAATAGTTAAATTTATGATAATTGGACCTCTATTTATGCCCTTGCTCCAGGCACATAGACATGAAGGCGGATCATTTGAAAAGGGATAAAGCTCAAACTTTTCAGGGACAAGGCTTAAAATTGCCCCAAGTACTCCTAGTTAATTTGATCTTTTAAAAAATAATAGCAAATTCTTGGTCAGTCTTCATTCCAGTGGTAGAAAAGAATTTTATTAGTATGAAAGAAAAAAAGTTTGTCCTTTCCTATTGACCTCTTCTAAAACTATAAAGGAGAAAAGCAATTCACCTCATCATATTCTTTGTAAAATATAAGTACATTGCATTTAGCATAGTAGGCAGTGATCAAAACACTTGATAGTACAATAAAATATAAATTTAATGTCATACTTGAAAATATATTTAGAGAGTTTTTTTTTACTTTTCAAAAAATACATTATAGACTCCACCTATAATATGTATGGAAGTATATTTTGTGGTAATTATTTTATGACAACTGGTGAAGTTCAATCTGAACTATAATTCAACAAAAATGTCCCAATAGCAAACATATACTTAACTTCTGTTTGTTCTTCTGCTTCATCTATTAGACTTTCATCAGAGGAATGGAAGCATTCCCTGAAGAGCAGGTGCTTTGGAGTCAGGCTTAGTTTGAATCTTATTGCTGCCACTTCTGAGCTATGCACCACCATGGAGAATTTACTTGACCTTTTTTAAGTTCATCTTCTATAACATGATGTGCAAAAAGGTTGTTTTGTTAATTCAAATAAATTAAGAATGTGAATTATTAAGCATGTGGCAAGAACTCAAATACTTTTCTTCTTGGTTCCTTTGATACTTCCTCTGGGTTTATATTCATGTCATGGTATTGTATCAACTTTATTGCCATATTACTAAGGAAAAGAATAAGTCCAAACTATAAAGAAGTCTACTTATTCAAACTAGGTAAGAAGTAAGAGATATAGGAATAGAAAATGTCCTGTCCTAAAGGAATCTAGAACAAGCAAGCTATGTTTAGTTTCTCTCTCAATTCATCTCTCTACACCATGTAGTATTATTGACACCCTCTCCTCAAAACACTCCTTCCCTAGGCTTCTGGACATCTGTGATGGTACTCTTTTGCTCTTCCTCCTGACTTTTACTAATGCTTCTCAGTCTCTTTGGTGGGTCTCTTTTCTCTGCTCATCTCTTAAATCATATCACTGTCCTCCACCCTCTTTCCTCCTCTCCCTCAGTGACCTCAACCTCCCCAATGTATTAAATTATTATCTATATGCTCCTGATTCCTATTTTTTTAGTTGTAGATAGACACAATATCTTTATTTATTTTTGTGTGGTGCTGAGGATCGAACCCAGTGCCTTATTCGAGAGAGGCAAGTGCTTTATCACTGAGCCACAGCCCTGGCCCAAATCCTAAATATTTATCTTCTGCAAGGTTTCTCCCCTGCACCTAAAGACTGTGTATCAGACAGCTTCCTGTCATGTCTCACTGACATCTCAAAGTCAAATATCCAAAACAGTACTCATTTCTCCCCACTGATCCACAGTGTCATATTTTTTTCCCCTACCTCATCCTTAGCCCTCATATTCCATCCATCAACCATCTGTCTCCCTAATGTTTTCTGAACTCGTCCAACTCTTTGCAGTTCCATTGCCATTATTGCCTTTGTCCACACAACCATCGGCTCTTCCCTGGATGGCTGCTGTAGCCAACCAATTGCTCAATTTGACTCTTATTTTGTCACTTCCAACCCCAATCTATTCTCAACATTCAATCAGTCTAAAATATAAATTTTATTATGTCACTCGTAGCATTGTGGCATGTATTGTCCTAGATGTTCACCACATATTCTTGTTATCTACATCCTTTGTTAGATACTGAACATAAATATATAACATCGCATGTAATTAGGATTGAATTGAATTGAATAAGATTCTAGAGGAC